AAAAAAAAAAAAAAAAAAAAAAAAAAAAAAAAAAAAAAAAAAAAAAAAAAAAAAAAACTCAAAATGGCATCTATAAAAAGGAAGAACAAATTACGTGTCTAAGGTAACATGCTCAGATACACCGTGACCTCTGGCCGGCAACGAGTCCTTGCCGGAGCTAATCGGTAGAGAGAGGATTCCGAGCCCAAGAAGCATCAACAGCGCCACTGAAAACATAAATAGCACAAACAACACATAAAGCACCATAGACGATCTCTTTCTTGCATGCCGATTGCCCCGAAAATTGCCCATAATTAATCAACACACATAAACCAAAGCGATGAGAGAACAAAAATGGTAATACTTGATTAATCCTGAGTATATCTCCTTTTCAAAAAATTCTTCCCTCTCTTTTAAGCTTTGGTTGCCTTTTTTTAATACAATATTGAGTAGCTAGGATCAAGTTTTTCAGCTTCGCATTGTGAAATTTTCAAAAAAGTTGGATTTTATCAAGTCTCAGTTGTCTTCTTATGTGAAAATCTTTTGTTTCATGCATTATTAATTATAGTCTTTCGTTAATATAGTATTAACCTTGTCAAAGTCTTCATTATGCCCTTGATAGAATTTCATATCTCACATAATTGATAAAGATTTTTCACACGATTTAAACTGCACATGGTAATGAAATAGTTATACCATAAGATTATAGACTTTTTATTATGTTTTGAAAAAGAGTGTTTGGTATGGTGAACAACAAAAATTCTATGGAGACATCAAACGGTTTTCTTATAGAGTCATCAATCACTTAATATACTGACACTTGTTCAAATTGTATTTGTTGTAGAACACGTGTCAATACACTATTGGTGAATAAGTGTAGATGACTCTATAAGTCGAGTCATCCGATGGCTCCATAGCAAAACTGTGGTCGAAGTATAGATAAGACGGAATTAATATAAACAAAAACTAGCTTAATTTGAAAACACTATTTTTGAAAATAATTTTGAGAATTGTACGGGTTAAATGGATATATGATTAAATATATCAACATATTTATCATGGTTTTTATCTACACATGACCGCAGTCTGCATACATACATATATATACATACATACATACATACATATATACATACATAGGCACTCGATTGTGTTGCGATTTGCGAATGAGTAACAACAGTAAATGTAGCTCAGAAAAAATTAGTTATTACAAATTTTTATAGTTAACTAATTTGAATGACAAAGCCAACTACAAATGACATTAGAAACAAGAAGTGACGTTAGAGAAGACCTCATCCGTATACAAGATGCCATGCGAGGAGGCGTCTATTTGATCACTGCAGACTTGTAGGCACAAAATAATTACAACAGTCGTCTCCATAGGTGAACCTGAGACAAAAATCATATGCACCACATAATATAAACCGAAGTTGCATAAAGCCTGAACAAGCATTAGTTTCTATGAAGATAATAATATATAATGAAAAGTAAATACACAAAAAAAGAAACAAATAATAATAAATTCAAATAGTAACACAAATCAAGATGGGCGACTCCGTAAGTGTGGATGACTGTGATACCTACTTATTCATTCTGTCTATAGTAGAATTAATAGGTGATTAACAGTATTTGTACTCTTTATAAATATGAACACGTGGACCACTTTAAAATTATCTTATTTATACATAATACAAGATAATTGAGAAATAAAATACTAACATTCTCCCACTTTGTCCATATGTTACCATATCAAAAAACATAGAATACAAAGAACACGAATCATGGCGACATGTCCTCTAAAATTGAGTAGTATCTTCCATGTATTACAATGCACTTTGATCCATGAAAACTGCCTTTGAACTTAATGAGTAAACTTAATGTTTATTCTAGGTTCAAACATAAATGATAATTCTCAAGATAAATGTGCATAAATTAAATGAGAAAATATCAATAAAATTTTCAATGTAACAAGTAACAACAAATGTACGTACAACCAAATGTTACATACTAGAACCGAGTCCCATTCGTACTACATGATCCTTAAAATTTTTAAGTGACATGCACTTAGTCAAAGGATCAACAATCATTAATTCAGTACTAATGTGCTCAATGACCAATTTTTCTTCTTTCACACGTTCCCTCACGGCTAAGTACTTGATGTCGATGTGTTTACTTCGACTTCCACTTTCATTAATCTTAGCAATAAATACCGCAGCTGAATTATCACAGTGTAGTGTCAATGGCTTAGATATAGAATCAACAATTCTAAGCCTAGATATGAAACTCTTTAACCATACACCATGACTAGTAGCTTCAAAACACGATACGAACTCCGCTTCCATTGTCGAGGTAGCGTTCAAGGTTTGTTTGGCACTTCTCTAGCCAAAATGAAAATATATCTGCAGCCAACAAAGTGAGAATCTGAGTAACCAGTCACCTCCAAAATTTTCAGTTCGTCTATACATTAGCATATAATCTTTTGTCCCTTTTAGGTACCTTAGCACCTTCTTTGCAGCTCTCCAATAGTCAATATCTAGATTACTCTGATATCTCCCTAACATCCCAACAACAAATGCAATGTCTGTTCTGATACAGACCTGAGCGTACATAATACTTCCAACAGCTGAAGCATATAGAATGGACTTCATTTGTTCACGTTTGAGTTCAATTTTCGGAGATTGATTCAAATTGAATCTAATCACAGTTTACAATTGGGGCTACGCTTGGTGAACAATCTTTCATATGAAATATCTCTAAAACTTTATTAATATAGGCCTCCTGAGACAAACCTAAAATGACTCGAGATCTATCTCTATGAATCTTAATGACAATGACATAAGATGCATTACACATATCTTTCATATCAAAACTTTAAGAGAGAAATTGTTCCACCTCATATAACATACCCTTCTCATTAGTTGCAAGTAGTATATCATCAACGTATAGAACTAGAAAACATATCTTACCCTTATTATAAGTTATTAAAAAAAAAATACTATTGACGTAATTAAAATTAATATTTTTAATTTCAAAATAATATATGTTACAATTTTTTCAATTAAGTGTTAGTTATGATATTTGACACAAATTTTCAACTTTAGCATAACTTATTTAAAACTTGACATTATAATAAAGTATGAGTAAGAGAGAGAGAGAGAGAAAGAGAGAGAGAGAGAGAGAGAGAGTTATAAACATAAACTATAAAATGACAACTATGTTATAACGAGTGAAATAAATATGATCATATATTAAATTATTATATGTAATAAAATAAAAGAAAAATGAATATTAATATTTAAGCTATTTATATATTAATCAATTTTCAATGTTTGAAACATGGATTATATAATTATTGTCCCGTATATCGCATGGGCGTATTGTGCCACCTCCACCAAGCAGTCATGATGTCCTATTAGTTTTCACTCTACATCCATTATATTTATTGTATTATTTTCACAGTTATGTACCTAAAAAGACAAAATTCATATTTCTGTTAGATACACAACAGCCACATGAGTTCATGGCAACGAAAGACTTGGTCTCCTGAAAAATAAAAAAATCCAAGGTCAGTTGCAGTCAATTAAAAATTGCACTAGCCGAGCTAAGGGGGGCCATCTAACTTATTTCTATTCGAAAAATACATATATTCAGTTTAGGGTATAGGAAAATGATACGGTCCAGTTACGGAACCATTCTGTCAGGTTTGTAACCGTTAGATCATCATGTAACCGCCATAAATAGTTCATTTGACGGTTACAAATCCCGACGAAATGATTCCATAACGGGACCTTAGCATTTCCTGTTATATATATATGCCTTGTCTACCTCAGAGATGCATGCGCTTAAGGACTATTTGTATAAACCAACATGCAACCACTTTGTAGACGACCATTTATTTCCTCGGATAACAGGGCAAGCCTCTGAAACAAGGCGCATTCTTAATCAACATATCAAGACAAATATTAATAATATCTCTTGTATGAATGCCAAAGTAGTTTTTTAACAAGATGAATTAAAGAACCTACCGTGCAAGCTCATCGGGTCCTCCCTGCCATCCGGTTTTAGACTCCAGAAAAGCAATGCATCTCCCATTCTCGGTTTTACGGGAAGACCCGCTTTAGCACATTCCGACATCTTATCCCAACCGGGAGTCGAGCTGAAGTTACCTTTTGCAAGAGGAAACACTGTCTCACCCCCTTCCTCAACATCCGATCTGTCGAGGATGAAAGAAACTAATTAGCATTATTATTTGACATTTTTAGTGAATGAAAAATAAAAAATAAAAAAATCCAAGACTTACAAGTACATAAGAACAGTAGCTAAGCGTTGACCCCCAATTTTAAGGTTGAATTCATCCTCAAAGTAGTCGCCATGAGCCTCGTACTTTTGCCCTACTTCATAGTGTAGAATTTGAAGGTTTTCTCCGTGTTCTGTAAAGGCGCGTTTGGTTGAAGAATTGGATTAATGTTAAAAAATATGTCCTTAATCTTATTAACAAGCTTTTCCTGCTTAGTCTATCACCATATTCTATTTGTTTGCTTATATATTATTTGGCAAGCTTATAAGGGGCGATTGTTTATGGATTGTGCTAGTTTTTATTTGGTTTATTTTTTAACTATAGTTAATTTTGTAAAAAGTAGTATGATTATTTGTTAGTGAATATTTAAAATAATATTTAAATAAAATAATTAAAGTTGATTTGATGTAAAGTATGAGAAAAAGGATTGGAAGTAATAATTAGTTACAATTATGTGAGTGGATGAATAGTGAATTAAAGTTGATGTGAAACGTAAGAATGATTGGTTCATAATATTATTGAGGATAGTGGGGTTGAGTTAAAGTTAAATTTTGATTGTTTTGAATGTATATACAACCACACCCTAAGCTCTCTGTATTCAAATAAGTCTCGTTTGGTAGGATGAGTTTTTTTAGCTTATTATATGAACTTCCTTAAGTATCTTTTCAAATAAAGTGATTGAATTTTTTGTGCAAGCTAGTTTAGCAATTAATTTTACTAAATACTTTTATCATATAAGCTAGCTTTTCAGCTATAAGTCCTAAGCTACAAGCTAAAAAAATTACTGATAAGCTATAAGCTAGCTTACCAACAGGTATTTGTGTGTAATCGGCTATTCTTTTCTCAATATCTCTGATGACACTATCTTGTCCTAATTCCAAAAACATTCCAGTACTCGTTCGAACACTGAAAATGAAATATGCACAGACGAGTTCAAAGGTGTGTATTATTATTATAGTAAAATAAAAATAAATATAATTAAGATAGAACACATATAGAAACAAACCTGCTGTTCATACTCTCTCCGGTATCGTCATCAATGACTGTCGATAATGTCATGTGAGGTTTGCCAAGATTTATCATATGTACACATTCTTCCTTGGACTGATCATGCAATGTATATATTAAAACAATCGGTAATTAAAAAATAATAGTTATGTAAAACAAACCAAAAAATTAACACTTTTAACATGTTTAATAATTAGTTATTTAATTATTATTTTTTTTAAAGTTTCTAGCTTCCCTAACATAATAATAAGAAATGAAATATTAAATTAAAAAATAAATAAAAATAAGGCTAAATTGTAAAATATGGTCAGTATCTTGTAGGCGGTGGCAATAATAGCCACTATCTTGATGAATTGACAATATTAGCCAACAACTTTCAAAATTTCGAGATTATTACCAAGATCCAACCAAATTCGACAAATAAATTGAAAAAATTATAGTCAGTATCTTTTTACGCACTGACAATAATAGCCATCGAATTTGGTCGGACATGAATAATAATCGAAAATTTTTGAAAGTTGTTGGCTTAATATTGCCAATTCGTAAATATTGTGGCTAATATTGTCATCGCGTACAAGATATTAGACTAAATATTTTGCAATAAAACCAAAAAATAAACCCACCAAGAAATTATGATAGAGGAAAGCCCTGGGCTCCCAGGAAAGTACTTCTGTCCACTGATTCTCTCTTTTCCCCAATCCCTCCCCTTCACTTTCCATCCTCCTATCATCCAAATTTCTTTAATTTGAACCCAAAAAAATAAAAAATAAAAATAAAAAAATCAATATACCAAATTGAATAAACCTATAAAAAAACTCAAGAAGACAACTTTTTTTTTTTAAAAAAAAAAGAACAAATTACGTGTCTAAGGTAACTTGCTCAGATACACTGTGACCTCTGGCCGGCAACGAGTCCTTGCCGGAGCTAATCGGTAGAGAGAGAATTCCGAGCCCAAGAAGCATCAACAGCGCCACTGAAAACATAAATAGCACAAACAACACATAAAGCACCATAGACGATCTCTTTCTTGCATGCCGATTGCCCCGAAAATTGCCCATAATTCAATCAAATACACACAAACCAAAATGATGAGAGAACAAAAATGGTAATACTTGATTAATCCTGAGTATCTCCTGTTCAAAAATTTCCTCCCTTTCTTTTAAGCTTTGATTACCTTTTTTAATACTTTTTGAGTAGCTAGGATCAAGTTTTTCAGCTTCACATTGTGAAATTTTCAAAAAAGTTGGATTTTGGATGGGTAAGGTAAAAGATACGAGTATCAATATGAGGACGATGTTGTGGATTTTATCAAGTCTCGGTTGTCTTCTTATGTGAAAATCTTTGTTTCATGCATTATTAATTATAGAGTATCTCTTGATTTTCTTGTCAAAGTCTTCATTATGCCCTTGATAAAATTTCTTATCTTTACACAATTGATAAAGATTTTTCACACGACTTAATGGCACATGGTAATGAAATAGTTATACCATAAGATTGTAGACTTTTTATTATGTTTTGAAAATGAGCGTTTGGTACGGTGATCAACAAAAATTCTATGGAGACATCAAACGGTTTTCTTATATAGTCATCAATCACTTAATATACTGACACTTGTTCAAATTGTATTTGTTGTAGAACAAGTGTCAAATACACTATTGGTGAATAGGTGTGGATGACTCCATAAGTCGAGTCATCTGAAGACTCCATAGCAAAACTGTGATAATCGAAGTATAGATAAGACGAAATTAGCACTGTCAAACGGGCCGGTGGCCCACGGGCTGGCCCGTCCGCCCGCTTAAACGGACGTGCTTGGGCCTTTGCTTGGCCAGCCCGTTCAATCGCGGACCTATTTGGCCCGCCCCGTTTGGCCCGCGGGTTGGGACGGGTTGGCCCGTTTTTTTATATATATTATTTAAATTTAGTATTTTTTATCTTAATATTAATAAATCAAATAATATTTTATGTCAATTAAGTCGTTCGAATACTCTATAACTATTGATAAAAAAAATAAAAATAAAAACTAGATGACAAATATTTAACATCATTACACATGAAACCTTACTAGTTTATTAATATACTAGTCAATATAAGGATAAACAAACCAAAAAATATATAAGAGTGCGAATACCATAAAAAAATAAATAAATAAAACCCGCGGGCGGGCCAATTTGGCCCTCGGGCTAATGCGGGCGAACCACGGGCTATGGATTTCCCAGCCCGTAGAAATGCGGACCATTTTGGCCCGCCCCGTTTGAACCGCGGGCCAGCGCGGGCCGGAGCGGGCCGTTTGACAGTGCTAGACGGAATTAATATAAACAAAACTAGCTTATTTGGAAAACACTATTTTTGAAAATAATTTCAGAATTGTACGGATTAAATGGATATATGATTAAATATATCTAACATATTTATCATGGTTTTTATCTACACATGACTGCAGTCCGCATACATACATAGGCACTCGGCTGTGTTGCGATTTGCGAATGAGTAACAACAGTAAATGTAGCTTCAGAAGAAATTAGTTATTACAAATTTTTATAGTTAACTAATTTGAATGACAAAGCCAAATACAAATGACATTAGAAACAAGAAGTGACGTTAGAGAAGACCTCATCCGTATACAAGATGACATGCGAGGAGGCGTCTATTTGATCACTGCAGACTTGTAGGCACAAAATAATTACAACAGTCGTCTCCATAGGTTAACCTGAGACAAAAATCATATGCACCACATAATATAAACCGAAGTTCCATAAAGCCTGAACAAGCATTGGTTTCTATGAAGATAATAATATATAATGAAAAGTAAATACACAAAAAAAGAAACAAATAATAATAAATTCAAATAGTAACACAAATCAAGATGGGCGAATCCGTAAGAGTAGAGAAAAAGTGTCTCAGTTCAGCAACATTCATATGATTATGAGCCCAAACAGATTTAGTTGCATAATAAAGAAAAAAAAGATAATGAAAATGAATGAAAAGAAAAGCAAAGGTATGCTATTTGGTTGAGGCCTCTGAAGGGCTACAATAAATCAGCTGAACTACAGATCCAGCTTTTCTCATTGAAATCCAAAGCTGAAAGATTCAAGAAAGATCAAAGAAATTGTCTGTCATTATCTTATTGATCCGAGCAAAGAACTATTATAAGCAAGCTCTCTAAGTTCATAATCGCTCAAGAGTATTTAGTATGATAAACCTTGTTGAACCCAACTTGAGCCACAATGAGATGAGGATTATGAGTCTCTAGTGATTTCTACTCGTAATAAGCAACTGAATATTATACCCATAACATTTTTATAATTACTACGTTTTTCCTTTTTTCTGGAAACACAAATTCCTATGTAGTCCATGAGACCAGCATTGTACGTATACTGGACAAGATGCACAAATCTTAGCATAGCAAAGCTTTTGATCTGCCATCCGTGCATGCTAATCAGACTTTATACGGCACTCACAGTCTATATTTTCGCAACCAAGATTATCTGATCTGCAAAGCTTGGAGGCTGATCTGATAAAACCAAGAGAAACGTGAGCTTAGTTTCAAATTAAGTTCTCAAATGGATGAAATCTGAACACAAACATACTCACGAAAATAAGTTTGAAAGCCCCACCACTCAAAAGTAGAGGAAAAAACAGAAGCATCCCGGATGAGATTCTTGTTAGTTGTAGCTCCTCTTTCTATTAGACAGTTTGTGCTTCCAGATAATTTTTCACTTCAAACAAACACATTGCGTGTGTGTGCATAGACAGAACCATTAGTATTCCAATTCAAAGGTCATTAGATGGCTTTGTCGATCAAAGGAGTCAACTGAAGAAGATGACATTCTTCTTCAACCAGATTCAGCTGGCACCTCAGAGTTGATGACTCCATTTACCAAAAACACCATTAATATTTAACTTCTCCTCTTTGCATACCTCTGTCTCTGGTTCTACTCATTTCCCTCAAATTTTACCTATCGAGAAAACCTTGGCTAGAAACTAAACCCTGAAATTCCACGGTTCTTGATTTCGCTTTGAATTTTCATCAACACTAATAAATATATCAATCAACAAAAGCTATATTTCCTATTCGGACTCGGAAATCCATTCACATAAGAATCACAATTATTCACCATATTTTACAGAAATTAGCAGAAGCAGCATATTGAAATTACCCAAAGATGCATCCTTGCAACTAGAACTCGATCAAATCCCATCAATTCAAATTTTAAAACAGAATTTTTTGCAAAATTATACAAAAACAAATTCTAAAAAAGAGTGAAAGAACCCAATTAGAAACACTTACCACCAAAACAAATCATCGCCGACGGGATTCATTCCTCTCCTTCTCGACCTGCTGCTTCTGCTTCTCCACGAGCTTATCGATCGCCGCTTGAACCGCCTCCTGTCCTCCGATGATCAGCCGGGTCACGACCTCCGGGTCCTTTTCGAACCGGGCCTGTTCGAATTCCTTCCTCGCATTCTCCCTCAATACGTCGCGCCAGAGGACGCCCTTTGAATCGGGCCATATGAAGAATCGGGTCGCCCGGATGATGTCTCGGTAGAGGCTCAGCGCCTCACGGCGGGTGCTGGTGAGCCGCTGCCGGTTCAAGAGCTCGCTCTCCTCGTCGTTGAGATGCTTCGGGCCGTCGTCTTTCACCAGGTGGCGGTCGAGGAGCTCCTCAAGCGTATCGGGGCCGTTATGTAACTGGCGATTTTGGATATGTGGGACGGGTTTATCGGAACGGAGGTGGCGCACGGCGGCGCCGAGGGTCCGGTGATTGCGGAGCTTTGAGCACATTTTTCTCTTTTTCTTCGTTACTTTTTTTTTTTTTTTTGGT